CCAATTAATGCATGATCAATTCTTATGTGAACTCTCATGTCTGCAATAACTGCAATTTTCAACTTGCCTCATTTTTCTGGCCAATACGATGGGCACGATCTTGGGCTTGAAGATCCTGATGGGGGTTCCAATCCGAATCAAAAATAATAACGGTATCAGCAGACTGAAGATTCAAACCTAAACCGCCTGCACGGGTTGACAATAAGAACAAGAAGTACTCCCTTGAAGTGTTAAATAAACGTAAAAGCTCACCACGATCTTCTGATTTAGTCATTCCTGAAAATATTATAAAAAAATTTAAATACCTGTAAGACAGGCAAGATATACATAGCTTCTAAATAATACTATAACTGAGTATCCATATACATACGTATTTACAAATACAATGTGTATAATTAAATCCCATTCTGATTTTATGACACTTTCTTACTGCACATCTAAGCACGAGTTGTACATCTTAACCAGGAAAACCCACATTAATCAAACTTTCTCTTCTATATTTATGGTAACACTATGTAATTGTTTACTTGTAAAATTTTACCCTTAACCCCTTCAGGGTCCAAGGCCCAAATCTGAAGTGGTGCCCCAGTGTCCAAGAATTTAAAAAAAAAAAATTTGTTATTTTTTCTTATGAAATGGTAGAGAATCTTTTTGCGAAGGTAATAAAACAAAAAGTACGAAATTTGATGGAAAACTGACGAAATTATGCTCTCGCGAATTTTGATGTGTCAGCGATATTTACGAATCGGCGATTTTGCCGACTTTGACTTCCATTTTAGGCCAATTACATCATTCCAGTCAACCAAATTCTTAGCTATTTTACTATTATTACTTCTATTCTGTCGATTGAGCACAAGAAATCGCCAAGTCAACTGTTTCAACTACAAAATAAAGTGATCGGAAATTGGTAATTTGGCCAATTTAACACAAAGTTCAAAATATTCCAATTTCAAAATAGCATCCAAAATAAACAATGTAGGCATTCCTGGAACTAAACTTACATTTCCTCGGTTCATTAGTTACGTTTTGAGGCTTTACAAATAAATCCCATTTTTATTTTTTATTTACATAATGAATTTTTATTCACACCAAAAAATAGAAGATTTACTGTTATGCAATATTGTAATAATTGTATAAATATCATCACCACATTTGTGAATGTGTATTAGATCCACCAGCTGGCGTGTATTAGACGTGTGAGGTCGTTTGTTTACTCTTGAACATCGACAAAAATTTAACATTTCCACTACTTTGAGCTCAGTTTCAAGCCATTTCCAATGCTAAAACCAATCAAAATCATCTCTATTTCTGTAATATGTCTTCCATTCTATCAAATGAGACCAAGAAATTGCAAATACAACTATAAAAAACATATGAAAAAACACTGCAAAGTTGCTGTTTTAATCGAAAATCTTGGTTTCAGTTTTTTTCTCTCATTATACACAGTGTGCTGCAGGATTTGTTTTATGTGGTGCACACATACCACATAGATGTATTCTCTCATATCTAGGCCCAAGTGTACCACTCACAGTTTATCAGAGTGAGCTGAGCTCATGACGTAGATCTACGGTTTGGACACTGAACGCAAAGCCGTAGATCTACGGGACGGACCCTGAAAGGGTTAATGTGTACAGTGGAACCTTGGTTTTTGTTTGCCCTGGTTTATGTCAAATTTGGTTTTCGACGACTTGTCCTAGTTTTCGTTCATCACCTTTGTTTTTGTCGAGTTGACAGTGGTCTGCAGTAACGAACATGTCCACCTGTGCCCACACAAAGTATCCCATGCATTCTGAGTCAGTCTGGCTTTATTTCTCATCGGTAGAGGGTGGTAGTGATGGTGGTAGTGATGGTGGTAGTGATGGTGGTAGAGGGTGGTAGTGATGGTGGTAGAGGGTGGTAGTGATGGTGGTAGAGGGTGGTAGTGATGGTGGTAGAGGGTGGTAGTGATGGTGGTAGAGGGTGGTAGTGATGGTGGTAGAGGGTGGTGGTGGTGGTAGAGGGTGGTAGTGATGGTGGTAGAGGGTGGTAGTGATGGTGATAAAGGGTGGTAGTGATGGTGGTATAGGTTGGTAGTGATGGTGGTATAGGGTGGTAGTGATGGTGGTATAGGGTGGTAGTGATGGTGGTAGAGGGTGGTAATAATGGTGGTAGAGGGTGGTAATGGTGGTAGAGGGTGGTAATGATGGTGGTAGAGGGTGGTAGTGATGGTGGTAGTGATGGTGGTAGAGGGTGGTAGTGATGGTGGTAGAGGGTGGTAGTGATGGTGGTAGAGGGTTGTAGTGATGGTGGTAGAGGGTGGTAGTTATGGTGGTATAGGGTGGTACTGATGGTGGTAGAGGGTGGTAGTGATGGTGGTAGAGGGTGGTAGTGATGGTGGTAGAGGGTGGTAGTTATGGTGGTATAGGGTGGTATGATGGTGGTAGAGGGGTGGTAGTGATGGTGGTAGAGGGTGGTAGTGATGGTGGTAGAGGGTGGTAGTTATGGTGGTATAGGGTGGTAGTGATGGTAGTAAAGGGTGGTAATGATGGTGGTGGAGGGTGGTAATGATGGTGGTAGAGGGTGGTAGTGATGGTGGTAGAGGGTGGTAGTGATGGTGGTAGAGGGTGGTAGTGATGGTGGTAGAGAGTGGTAGTGACGGTGGTAGAGGGTGGTAGTGGTAGTGATGGTGGTAGAGGGTGGTAATGATGGTGGTAGAGGGTGGCAGTGATGGTGGTAGAGGGTGGTAGTGATGGTGGTAGTGATGGTGGTAGAGGGTGGTAGTGATGGTGGTAGAGGGTGGTAGTGAAGGTGGTAGAGGGTGGTAGTGATGGTGGTATAGGGTGGTAAAGGGTAGTAATGATGGTGGTAGAGGGTGGTAATGATGGTGGTAGAGGGTGGTAGTGATGGTGGTAGAGGGTGGTAGTGATGGTGGTAGAGGGTGGTAGTGATGGTGGTAGTGGTAGTGATTGTGGTAGAGGGTGGTAGTGATGGTGGTAGAGGGTGGTAGTGATGGTGGCAGAGATAACCTCTCCTCCCTCTCCCCTTCTCGCCGTCTTCCATACGCCAACAAGTCTTCAATAAAGGTAAAAGTGATGTTAAATGTTCATTTATCCATTCCATTAGTCATTTATATTTATTTCTCATTGTTTTCTTTATGTAAAACTATAGTTATTCTTTATAAAATGTTTTTTTTTGTCAATATTTTTGGGTGTCTGGAACGGATTAATTGGATTTACATTATTTCTTAAGGGAATATTGCTTCAGTTCTCACCGAATTCAGTTTTTGTCGGACTTTCTGAAACGAATTAATGATGAAAACCGAGGTTCCAATGTATAAACCTATTGAAAGTCAACTGAACAGTGACCATATTCTTCCACACAGATGGATCACACTGTAATCACAGTGCTTACCAAGATATTTTATCATGTGAAATTTCTCTACACTCACCTAAAACAATGGCTCCAGGGGCAGAGGAGCATTTGTTATGTAAAACCATCACTCTATTGATATAGGAGCTCACTGACTGTGTCTGGAGACCACTCTTTAGCTGCTTTGTAAAGGCCAGACAGATATGGTGTGGGTTCAAATCCCTGCCACCACAGGATTAATTTGAAAGTTGTAAAATAAATCAATATTTTCGATGGTGTCATATTGTACTTGCGTATGATAGAGATTTTCATGTTTACCTACTTTTAACTAAAAAACAAAATTAAATGCAACAAACCATCAAGTCTCAAGTATTTGAAGCCTTTATACATGAGGTAGTCCTCCATAATAGTCATAAGCTGTGTCATCTGGCAGAAGAGCAGCACCCGATGATCGCTAGTCTTTAGTTTGGGCAAGATTCGATCTAGAAGTTCAAACTTGCCAGATGCTCGATACAGATCTGGACTGAGGAGGAGCAATATAAAGAAATTAAGTAATGCTTGGATTAAAGCATCATAAAAACTGATTAATAAAAAGAGTAACCACATGGACAGAAAATTCAAACACAGGCAAGAGACCATGTAGTATATATTTTGGTCTCGTTGCATAGGGACTCCGTCAAGTGGTTTCTCACTTTTCAAATTAATTAATGACTGATCTTCAATTATAACTTATTTTGAAGATACTGTAAGCTAAAAACAAAAACTAAATACAGTGGACCCCCGCTTAACGATCACCTCCCAATGCGACCAATTATGTAAGTGTATTTATATAAGTGCGTTTGTACGTATATGTTTGGAGGTCTGAAATGGACTAATCTACTTCACAATATTCCTTATGAGAACAAATTCGGTCAGTACTGGCACCTGAACATACTTCTGGAATGAAAAAATATCGTTAACCGGGGGTCCACTGTAATAGCAATAATTAATCTTCAATTATGACTGATTTCTAAGATACTGTAAATCTAAAAACAAAAAAGTAAATAATACTAATGATTAACCTTTATTTATGATTAATTTCTAAAATAATGCCAGTAAAAAACAAAGTAAATAAGAGTTCTATATATGACACATTAAAGGAACACATCAAATTATTATTGTGTTTTATCTCAATGGACATCTCCTGCCAAGGCAGGGTAACCCAAAGAAGAAAACACATTCACCACCATTCAACTGCTATGCTGCCAGAAATGTGCAGACATCACAATTCAGATTACCCTCTGACTGCAACACTCCCCCCACTGCCCTTCCAACCTCCAGGACTCTAGTCTGGCTTACCAGTTCCCCTGAATCCATTCATAAATAATACCTTATTCACACTCCAACAGCACATTCACTAACCCCTTAACTGTCCAAACGTAGATCTACGTTCTCTCGCCCAGCACTCCGAGTATTTTTGGAAGAAAAAAAAAATTAAATAGGGCAATTTTCTGTGTGTAATATATAAAAAAAAACCCATTAGGGTCAGTACTTACCAAGACGTAAGGCCGTGAAGTTGGTGCTGGATGCTCACCTGACGGCAACATGGAGTCTTGCCGCTTGCAGAACTGCTGCCGATATACCTTTCTTTCTATTTTTTTTTTTTAATCTGTATAATTTTTATGTTCTGATAATAACAATTTGTAGTGGTTCTTGTGATTTCATAGCCAATGTTTGTTCTGACACTAATATTAGATACTGTAATAGTATTCAGATAATCAAACATGCAGACAGGTGAACTTGGTCCCATACTATTGTCTAGAAATATATACAAAGTATTTATAGGTCCCAGCAATGTTTTAGACATGCGGGAGTGTTTATGAAAACTCCTTGAAGCATGGTGTAAGACAAGTGTCACTCCACTGCTGACAGTGCAGCAGTGGAGTGACACTGATGATTGTGCAATGCCTTGGCTTTATTTGTCTGTTGCTGTTTATCTCTGCCTCTGCTTATCTGTCTTTCTGTCTGCCTATGTGTCTGTCTTCCTGTCTCTCTTTCTGTATCAGAGAGAGAGAGCCACTCATGAACCAACAGGTATTACACACGATGCAGAGTCATCACGTCTGATTCCTGAACAAGTGAAAATAAGTATTACTTGCCAGTCATGCTTATTATGCCTTATATCTACAAGCACAGTACAGCACTTTGTCAGGATTTTATGGAGTTATCCTAGGTAATTTATTTTTATTATCACACTGGCTGATTCCCACCAAGGCAAGGTGGCTCGAAAAAGAAAAACTTTCACCATCATTCACTCCATCACTGTCTTGCCAGAAGGGTGCTTTACACTACAGTTTTTAAACTGCAACATTAACACCCCTCCTTCAGAGTGCAGGCACTGTACTTCCCATCTCCAGGACTCAAGTCCGGCCTGCCGGTTTCCCTGAACCCCTTCATAAATGTTACTTTGCTCACACTCCAACAGCACGTCAAGTATTAAAAACCATTTGTCTCCATTCACTCCTATCAAACACGCTCACGCATGCCTGCTGGAAGTCCAAGCCCCTCGCACACAAAACCTCCATTACCCCCTCCCTCCAACCTTTCCTAGGCCGACCCCTACCCCGCCTTCCTTCCACTACAGACTGATACACTCTTGAAGTCACTCTGTTCCACTCCATTCTCTCTACATGTCCGAACCACCTCAACATCCCTTCCTCAGCCCTCTGGGCAACAGTTTTGGTAATCCCGCACCTCCTCCTAACTTCCAAACTACGAATTCTCTGCATTATATTCACACCACACATTGCCCTCAGACATGACATCTCCACTGCCTCCAGCCTTCTCCTCGCTGCAACATTCATCACCCATGCTTCACACCCATATAAGAGCGTTGGTAAAACTATACTCTCATACATTCCCCTCTTTGCCTCCAAGGACAAAGTTCTTTGTCTCCACAGACTCTTAAGTGCACCACTCACCCTTTTCCCCTCATCAATTCTATGATTCACCTCATCTTTCATAGACCCATCCGCTGACACGTCCACTCCCAAATATCTGAATACATTCACCTCCTCCATACTCCAATCTGATATCCAATCTTTCATCACCTAATCTTTTTGTTATCCTCATAACCTTACTCTTTCCTGTATTCACTTTTAATTTTCTTCTTTTGCACACCCTACCAAATTCATCCACCAATCTCTGCAACTTCTCTTCAGAATCTCCCAAGAGCACAGTGTCATCAGCAAAGAGCAACTGTGACAACTCCCACTTTATGTGTGATTCTTTATCTTTTAACTCCACGCCTCTTGCCAAGACCCTCGCATTTACTTCTCTTACAACCCCATCTATAAATATATTAAATAACCATGGTGACATCACACATCCTTGTCTAAGGCCTACTTTTACTGGGAAATAATTTCCCTCTTTCCTACATACTCTAACTTGAGCCTCACTATCCTCATAAAAACTCTTCACTGCTTTCAGTAACCTACCTCCTACACCATACACCTGCAACATCTGTCACATTGCCCCCCTATCCACCCTGTCATACGCCTTTTCCAAATCCATAAATGCCACAAAGACCTCTTTAGCCTTATCTAAATACTGTTCACTTATATGTTTCACTGTAAACACCTGGTCCACACACCCCCTACCTTTCCTAAAGCCTCCTTGTTTATCTGCTATCCTATTCTCCGTCTTACTCTTAATTCTTTCAATAATAACTCTACCATACACTTTACCAGGTATACTCAACAGACTTATCCCCCTATAATTTCTGCACTCTCTTTTGTCCCTTTGCCTTTATACAAAGGAACTATGCATGCTCTCTGCCAATCCCTAGGTACCTTACCCTCTTCCATACATTTATTAAATAATTGCACCAACCACTCCAAAACTATATCCCACCTGCTTTTAACATTTCTATCTTTATCCCATCAATCCCGGCTGCCTTACCCCCTTTCATTTTGCCTACTGCCTCATGAACTTCCCCCACACTCACAACTGGCTCTTCCTCACTCCTACAAGATGTTATTCCTCCTTGCCCTATACACGAAATCACAGCTTCCCTATCTTCATCAACATTTAACAATTCCTCAAAATATTCCCTCCATCTTCCCAATACCTCTAACTCTCCATTTAATAACTCTCCTCTCCTATTTTTAACTGACAAATCCATTTGTTCTCTAGGCTTCCTTAACTTGTTAATCTCACTCCAAAACTTTTTCTTATTTTCAACAAAATTTGTTGATAACGTCTCACCCACTCTCTCATTTGCTCTCTTTTTACATTGCTTCACCACTCTCTTAATCTCTCTCTTTTTCTCCATATACTCTTTCCTCCTTGCATCACTTCTACTTTGTAAAAACTTCTCACATGCTAAGTAATTTACACTATGAATAATTATATTTATGTGTACCTGTGAGACAGACAGACAGAAACACAGATACAGACAGACAGATGGAAATGGAGACAGCCTTAGTCAATCAGCCAGCGGGCCGGCAAGCCAGCTGACAACCCAGCCAGCCGAACACGTATTACACATGTCCAGAATTGTTTTTCTTTACTTAGAGCATAGGTTATAGGACATTTTGGCAGGATGACACTACCACTGGTATCAAAATTGAAAGGATGTTGCACAAATATTGCACATGGGTTATTATCGAGGTTTTTGATATTTCCTCGACCACTTGTTGCCACATTCATCTTAAAGCTACTAAACTCAGGGTCAGCATTACTTTCCTCTTAAAAGGGGAGTATTAATGCGACATGACATCAGTGAATCCCTGATGTTTGCCACGCTGCTTGCTCTAGCTGGCACTCAATTGAACTGGTGCTCCCACACGGTGCTAATTGGTCCCAGATTTTTTTAATACTGCTCACACTGAGTGTTAAGAGCCATTCTATAATAACCAGGCATCTCAGGCCAATCGCACCAAATTTGGAGGCAGGAAAAATAAAATGTTGATCTACGTTTGGAGCACTATCAGTAACAACACAGATCTACGTTTGGACAGTTAAGGGGTTAAAAACCACTTATCTCCATTCACTTCTAGCATGCTCACACAAGCTCGCAAAACTTAAAAGCCTCCATTACTACTCGTCAACCATTCCTGGATGATTCTAACCCATCCCACCTTTCATTCCAGATTCATACATTTTCTCTGTCATCCTATCCCTCTCTATTTTCTTTACATGCCCAAACCACACTGACAGCCCCTCCTAAACCCTCTGAATTAAAACCCTTGGTGGCCCTACACCACTCTTTCAATTTCTAGGATCAGATTCTCTGCATGAATTCATATATTTTTCTTAAACATAGCATCTCTACTACCTCTAGCAAACTCCTCACTGCAGCATCAAAAATCCATGCCTCACACCCATATAAAAGTGTTGGCATCACTACTCTGGTACATACCATTTTTTACTTCAATGAACATCTTTCTTTTAACAGATACTACCCACCTTTACCCCATCATCCCTTTTATGATTCACCTTGACTTTCATAGATCCATCTGTTGACATGTTCTCTTCCAAATTTCTAAATATATTTACCTCATGCTCCATCCTCCAATCTGATACCCAATCTATCACTGCCTTGACTTTTTGTTACCCTCATCATCTTGCTCTTTTCTATATTCACTTTGAATGCCATTTTACATACCCTTCTAAATTCAACCACCAACCTTTGCAAATTGCCTTCAGAATCATCCCCAAAAAGAGCAGTTACTATCAGAATTCAACTGTGATAATTCCAACTTTGCATTTACTTTCTAAAATCCCAGCTACTGTGGACACTCGATTATCGGCCGTAATCAGTTCCAGAAGGTCAGTCTAAAACCAAAATGGCCTAAAGCCGAAATAATATTTCCCATAAGAATTAACCCTTTGACTCTCGCAACACCCCAATCCTGAGGTGTCTCCTGGTGTCACAAAATTTAAAAAAAAAAAATAAAAAATTATTTTTCTTATGAAATGATAGAGAATCTTTTCCCGATTGTAATGACACCAAAAAAAAAACAAAATTTTATTGAAAACTGATGGAATTACGCTCTCGCGAAGTTAGCGACCTCGGCGATATTTACAAATCGGTGATTTTGCCCACTTTGATCCTTGTTTTCGGCTAATTCCATTGTTCCAGTCGATCAAACTCATAGCTATTTCTTTAGAACTCCAATTTTTTCTATCGACTGAGTACAAGAAACTGCAAATTTACTGATTTCAACCACCCAATAACGTGGCAGAAATTTGCAATTTGGCTAATTTCACGAAAATAAAAAATATGACAATTTCAAAATAAGGTCCAGAATGAACCAGACATTCCTGGTTCTAAAATAACATTTTCTTTGTTCATCAGTCACATCTCCAGGCCCCTCTGATATTACTCTTGCTTTCTAATTTGAATTTTTATTCAAACAAAAAAAAAAGAAGATTTACTGTTATGCAGACTGCTGCAATATTGTAATAGTTGTATAAATAACATCAACCCATTCATGACTGCATATTAGAATGGCTAGTTGGATATTTATTGGACAATGACATCATTTGTTTACTTTTGAACATCGGCAAAAATCAAACATTTCCCCTACTTTGAGCTCCATTTCCAGGTTCTTTTTAAAGTAAAACCAATCAAAATCACCTCTATTTCTATAATATGTTTTCCATTCTATCAAATGAGACCAAGAAAATGAGAATACAACCATAAATACTATACGAAAATAGACCACAAATTCGGCATTTTTAATTAAAAAAACGGTCTTTTTTTTTTTCTCATTATGCACTGCATGCTCCAGGATTTTTTTTATATGGTGCACACTGACCACACAGACCCATTTTCTCACATGTGGGCCTACCAGCTTTCTCCTGCTTGATTTGAAGCCGCTAGAATTTATGAGTAGATATACGTCAAACACGGTACCTCGTAAGACGTATATATACGGCCGAAACAGTCAAAGGGTTAATGTAGATACAATTAATCCGTTCCAGACACCCTAAAACATTAACAAAAAATACATTTTTTTAGAGTGGGTAGGGGATGTGTAGATCAAGTGTTTACATTGAAGCATATATGTGAACAGTATTTAGATAAAAGTATGGAAGTTTTTAATGCATTTATGGATTTAGAAAAGGCATATGATAGAGTGGACAGGGAAGCAATGTGGCAGATGTTACAAGTATATGAAATAGGTGGTAAGTTACTAAGTTCTGTAAAGAGTTTTCATGACGATAGTGAGGCTCAGGTTAGGGTGTGAAGAAGAGAGGGAGACTACTTCATGATGAAAGTAGGTCTTAGACAGGGATGTGTAATGTCACCATGGCTGTTTAATATATTTATAGATGGGGTTGTAAAAGAAGTAAATGCTAGGGTGTTCGGGAGAGGGGTGGGATTAAATTACGGGGAATCAAATACAAAATGGGAATTGACACAGTTACTTTTTGCTGATGATACTGTGCTTATGGGAGATTCTAAAGAACAATTGCAAAGGTTAGTGGATGAATTTGGGAGTGTGTGAAAAGGTAGAAAGTTGAAAGTGAGCATAGAAAAGAGTAAGATGATGAGGGTATCAAATGATTTAGATAAAGAAAAATGGGATGTCAAATTGGGAGGAGGAGTATGGAAGAAGTAAATGTTTTCAGATATTTGGGAGTTGACTTGTCAGCGGATGGATTTATGAAGGATGAAGTTAATCATAGAACTGATGAGGGAAAAAAGGCAAGTGGTGTGTTGAGGTATACGTGGAGACAAAAATCGTTATCTATGGAGGCAAAGAAGGGAATGTATGAAAGTATAGTAGTACCAACACTCTTATAAGGGTGTGAAGCTTGGGTTGTAAATGCTGCAGTGAGGAGGAGGCTGGAGGCAGTGGAGATGTCCTGTCTAAGGGCAATTTTTTTTTTCTTTTTTAACAAGTCGGCTGTCTCCCACCGAGGCAGGGTGACCCAAAAAAGAAAGAAAATCCCCAAAAAGAAAATACTTTCATCATCATTCAACTCTTTCACCTCACTCACACATAATCACTGTTTTTGCAGAGGTGCCCAGAATACAACAGTTTAGAAGTATATACGTATAAAGATACACAATATACCCCTCCAAACTGCCAATATCCCGAACCCCTACTTTAGAGTGCAGGCATTGTACTTCCCATTTCCAGGTACTCAAGTCTGGCTATATAAAAATAACCGGTTTCCCTGAATCCCTTCATTAAATATTACCCTGCTCACACTCCAACAGATCATCATCCTCTATCCTTCCTAAATACTCTCTACTCCTCTGCAATTCTATTTTCTATCTTACTCTTCACTCTTTCAATAATTCTGTCATACACTATCTGGTACACTCAACAAGTTTATTTCTTTAAAATTATAAAAATGGCACACAAAACCAATAAGCAGATGAGTAAGGTACATGTGCAACAGTAGTGTACCTTTATAATTCTTACATTCTCTCTTGTCCCCTTACAATATATTTACCAACCCTTTTGTACCTTCCCTTCTTTCATGCACACAGTGGAACCTCAGTACTACTTGAACAGCTCCATACTCGAACAATTCAGTATTTGAACATTTGCTCGGCACACAACCAAACAAATGCGACCTGCCAGAACTTCGCTGTAAACTATTTCACATTTCTTCGCATTTTTTGGTGTTTTTTATATTATTATTTTATTAACACATCGGCCGTTTCCCACCAAGGTAGAGTGGCCACAAAAAGAAAAACTTTTACCATCATTCACTCCATCACTGTCTTGCCAGAGGCGTGTTTACACTACAGTTACAAAACTGCAACATAAACACCCCACCATGGGGCCTACGAAGATCAGTGATAACAGCCAACCTAAAAGAAAATTGATTGGGAAAAATTCGCTCGATACACAAACAGCCTTCTGGAACGAATTAAGTTCGAGTACCAAGGTTCCACTGTATTATGCACAAATACGCCAACCATTCCAATACTATATCCCTACCTACTTTTAATATCTCTGTCTTAATTCCATCTATCCCAGCTGCATTACACCCTTTAGTTTTAACCACTGCCTCATGGACTTTCTCCACATCTACCTCAGGGTATTCCTCACTCCTATATGGTGTCTCCTCTTTTTGACCAATGCATATAATGACTGCCTCCCCTTCATCGCTGATATTCAACATCTCATCAAAATATTCTCTCCATCTTTCCAGTACCTCCACTTCCAGATCTAACACATATTTTGTTTCTCTCCAGACTTATTAACCCTTTCAGGGTTTTCGACGTACTAGTACGGCTTACGCACCAGGGTTATTGACCTACTAGCATGCCTAAATTCTAGCGCCTTCAAATCTAGCGAGAGAAAGCTGGTAGGCCTACATATGAAAGAATGGGTCTATGTGGTCAGTGTGCACAGTATAAAAAGAATCCTGCATCACACAGTGTGTAATGAAAAAAAAAAAAACTTTGACCGTGTTTTTGGATTAAAACAGCGACTTTGCACTGTATTTTCGTATGATATTTATGGTTGTATTCTAGTTTTCCTGGTCTCTTTTTATAGAATGGAAGATATATTCCAGAAATTGAGATGATTTTGACTGGTTTCACAATGAAAAGTACCTTGAAATTGAGCTCAAAGTAGCAGAAATGTTCAATTTTTACCAAATTTCGAAAGTAAACAAATCATGCCAAGCGTCCAATACACGTCAACTGGTGATTCTAATATTCTTTCACAAGTGCGCTGATATTATTTATACCATTTCTACACTAATGCATAACAGTAAATCTTCTATTTTTTGTAAGAATAAAAATTCAAAGTGGAAAGCAAAAGAAATATAAGAGGGGCCTGGGGACGTGACTAATGAACAGAGAACCTTCTTTTCCTACAGATTTATATGCTCTCTAAGTCATTCTACTTTGATCCATTCTCTCTAAATGATCAAACCACCTCAACAACCCTTCTTCAGCCCTCTGACTAATACTTTTAGTAATTCCACACTTCCTAATTTCCACACTCCAAAATCTCTGCATAATATTTACACCACACATTGCCCTTAGACAGGACATCACTACCTCCAGCTGCCTCCTCACTGCAGCATTTGCAACCCAAGCTTCACACCCATGTAAGTGTGTTGGTACCACTAAACTTTCATACATTCCCTTCTTTGCTTCCATGGATAACATTTTTTGTCTCCACAGATACCTAAATGCACCATTCACCTTTTTTCCTTCATCAATTCTATGGTTAACCTCATCCTTCATAAACCCATCTGCTGACAAGTTAACTCCCAAATATCTGAAAACATTCACTTCTTCCATACTCCCTCCCTCCAATGTGATATCCAATTTTTCTTTATCTAAATTGTTTGATACCTTGTTTTCCAAATGCAGTAATTAATTATTTACTAGCAGAGCAACTAAAGTAACATAACTTACCCTTGAACTATGCCTCCTGCAAATCCAGTATGATTGCAATAGGCTTCCTCAATGTGTTGGAACATAAAGGGATGGTTGCAAAGTTTGCGAAGTTGCATAATAGTATTCATGAGAGCCTTGGTATTGCTCTTCTGACCTTTCTTATCTTCAGCACACAACATAACTCCCCTTGTCTGCATAGAGCGGTATAGCACATGTTGCAACCCTGACATTTCACATTTGATGATATATTCAACCTGAAAATACATACTAGATAATTAAGTTATAGAGAGCTCTTAAATATAGAGATAAATAATTAAAAAAGGGTGGTGGACAAATTCGAGAGGGTACGTAAAAGGAGGAAATTAAAAGTGAACATAAGAGCAAGATGAGAAAGGGTAACAAAAAATTTGGGTAATGAAAAACTGGATATCAGATTTGAGGAGAGAGTATGGAAGAAGTGAATGTTTTCAGATATTTGGGAGTGGACTTGTGAGCAGATGAATCTATGAAAGAAGAGGTGAACCACAGAGACGAAGAAGGTAAAAAGGTGAGTGGTGCACTGAGGCATCTGTGGAGACAAAGAATGCCATTCCTGGAGGCAAAGAGGAAATATGTAAGGGAATATTGATACCAATACTCTTATATGGGTGAGAACCATGGGTTGTGAATGTTGCAGTGAGGAGGCTGGAGGCAGTGAAGATGTGTCTGAGGGCAATGTGTGATGTGAATATTATGCAGAGAATTCATATCATAGCATGGAAATTAGGAGAAGGTGCAGAGTTACTAAAAGAATTATTCAGATGGCAGAGGCGGGGCTGTTGAGGTGGTCTGGACATTTAGGGAGGATGGAGCAAAATAGGGTGACTTGGAGGATGTATAAATCTGTAGTGGAGGTAAGGCAAAGTAGGGGGTTGCCCTAGGAAAGGTTGGAGAAAGGGGGTAAAGGCAGTTTAATGTGTGAAGGGCTTGGACTTCTAGCAAGCTTGTGTGTGCATGTTAAGAGTAAGTGGAGGCAAATGGTTTTTGGGACTTGACAAGCTGCTGGAGTGTGAACAAAGTAACAATTTATGAAGGGATTCAGGGAAACCAGTTAGCCAGACTTAGAGTCCTGGAGGTGGGAAGTACAGTGCATGCACTCTGAATTAGGGGTGGGGATATTTGCAGTTTGGAGAGGCACATGGACTGTAGTGTCTAAGCACCTCTGGCAATACGGTGATGAAGTAAATAATGGTGAAAGTGCTTCTTTTTCGGGTTACCCTGCCTCAGTGGTAGATGGCCGAGTGTTAAAAAAAAAAAAATATCAGCCCTTACCCACCTTCACTCATCCCCTCAACCTCCTGCTCATTTGTTGGAGAGTGGGGCCCTCAACCTGCCCATTCATTGGAGAGTGGAGTCCTCAACCTCCTGCCCTTTTGTTGGAGAGTGCAACCCTCAATCTCCTGCTCCTTTGTTGGAGTGTGGGGCCCCTCAACCTGCCCATTTGTTGTAGAGTGGGGCCCCTCACCCTCCTGCCCCTTTGTTGAGGAGTAGGGCCCTCAACCCCCTGCCCATTTGTTGGAGAGTGGGGCCCTTAACATCCTGCCTATACACTGGAGAGTGGGGCCCTCAACCTCCTGCCCATTTGTTGTAGAGTGGGGGGCCTCAACCTTCCCATACGTTGGAGAGTGGGGCCCTTAATATCCAGCCTACAAGTCGGAGAGTGGGGCCCTCAACTTCCTTCCCATTTGCTAAAGATTGGGGCTCTCAACCTGCCCATACACCGGAGAGTGGGATAACTATGGACCAACACCTTCACTCAACATCAGGCCCCTACCATCTCCCATACTCTCCCTCCACTCCACACTTCTCTGCCCTCCCCACCATGCTTGCCTAGACCTCAACACCCCATGCTTGTATGCATCTCTCCCAAACATTCATCCTCACCTGCATATCCTCACCCACCTGCCTCTACCCATCCCCACACCAGTGCCCATCTGACCATATGCTCTACTGCCACATGAGGCATGCAACAGCTGAAGGGAATGCATGACAGCAGCAACAGCATGCCACTTTAATTCTTTCGCCAATAACTTCATTCGCTCTTCTTCACCCAGTACCTTGTCCTCACCCACCAGCACGCACACTCTCACACACTAGCAAATAAGACAATGGACTCACCCTGAGGCTCAGTGTGAGACAGAGGGGAAAGAATGTAGCACATGTCACATTTGCTCCTACATGTCGTCTATTGTGCTAACCAGTTTTTATCGAGTGTTCATCAAAAAATGCCACCATTTTGCAACCGTGCAGTAACGAACACGTGTTAACAGATTGTGTGTTATCTGATGGTCTACTGTGGTGTTAGAGTGGTTGGTGCATGTGTTCAATAAATGTATGAAAGGAGGAAAGTACCCAGGGATTGACAGAGTGTGTGCATAGTTCCTTTTTTTTCAACACCCTGGCAGTAGGAGACTGCCAAGGAGTTAAAAAAAAAAAAAAAAAAAAAAAAAAAAAAAAAAAAAAAAAAGGAGAGCAGATGACGAAAAAGAAAGCTGATATGAAAATGCTGATGTGAGAATTGCTGTAGAACATATATATAAGGGGAATAAATTCAAAGTCAAAAGATGAGTGGATGGATATTAGGCAGTACCTTAATCTTTTTTTTTTTTTTTACAGAAAATAATAACACTAATGCTAAAACATAGGTGAAATAATCTGTTCACTTTACTTCAGTGTACGTCGGAGAATGATGTACTTACACCAGTCTCATTCCATAAGGGTGAGGAGTGATGTCTTACAATTCAGGATTTCTAACAAGAAACAAATGAATTCACTAATGAATAACAAGGCACAATACCAAGACTGGAACTATGCACATAACCTGCACATAAGAGAACTTATGATGATGTTTCAGCCCAAGTTGAACCAAAATGTCGTCCTAAGTTTCATTCTCCTGTGTGCTGATTATTTGTGCATCCACTAAGTCTTCCTGAATGCTAAAATGGTAGACTATAATGGAAACAAAAGCAAATTATTATGAATGGACTAAGTAATCATTAAAAAGTTTACCTTATCTGGCAATTGTGCTTCAACTTCTCTCTTGAGTCGGCGTAGTAAAAATGGTCTAAGAACTTTGTGCAGACGTCGAATGATCAAGATAGTTTCCTCTTCATTTAACTCCACCTAAAAATATAAAAACATAGATAAAGATTGGGAGGTTTTCATTGAATTTATGGATTTATGGATGGAGTGAATGATGGTGAAAGTTTTTCTTTTTCGGGCCACCCTGCCTTGGTGGGAATCGGCCAGTGTGTTAAAAAAAAAAAAAAAAAACATGATAGTGTGGATAGAGGAGCAATGTGGAAGATGTTGCAAGTGTATGGAATACGTGGTAAGTTACTAAATGCTGTAAAGAGTTTTTATGAGAGTAGTGAGGCTCAAGTTAGGGTGTGTAGGAGGGAGGGAGACTACCTCCCAGAAAAAGTTGGTCACTTGCTATTTTAGTATACAATGCACCATCTTCATATTGTTTTATAATTTCTAGTTTTTCATCTAATGTTAACCATTTACATTCACTAGAATGCTCAGCATTATTGCATTTCCTCTTTCCAATCATATTTGTGTATAAAAGCGGTACCAGTGCTTTACAATAAAGAAAAAATTGTGTATACCTAAGTACTGTAGATATAAGACTACACAGCTGCACTGCTTGGAGTCTGGAGTGATACTGATATTCACACTGCACTAGTCCAGTACATAAGAACATAAGAAAGAAGGAACACTGCAGCAGACCTACTGACCCATGATAGGCAAGTCCAAGTCACACCCACATTATTCAGAAGCCTCAACCCAAGCCTAGAGAAATTTTATCAGTACTAAACAGTAGTCTAAGTTCTTGTATACAACCCAATAATGAATCTTGTAAACTACTGTGTGTAAAATGATGAATAAATAACAAAATAATTATAATCGTAAAGATTCGTTGGCACTTAGCGGCAGTAGGCTATCATAAACCAAGTGATGAAGTTGGATGAAATATGGTAGTATGTATCAGTAGGCTAATTCACCTGTTTACCATCAAACTACCCAGTAATATTTTTACTCACTTCAAATGATCCTGATATTAAGGGAACATTATCAGATATAAAAAGCGAAAGTAAAATTGCAGTACAATAGACCGTCGTTCAACACAGTTTTGTCTGGCACATTTTGGTGATAGCATGACTGAACAACTGCGGCATATTTTTGTTTAACACTGTAAAATTAATTTAACACGGTTGCGGGAGGGGGAAAAATTTTGAGCGTGCAGTCACCTGTGGGGTGGGATGGGCTACTTCCATCCCCGGCCAGCATCAGCCACCCCCACCACCCTCCCAGCCTTCAGTTCCGGTTCATGTGTGTGTTGGGCGAACCTGTGCCAGTAGCTCGCTGTGTTTGTTTAGATACATATTAATTGCCATATCTTAAACCTGCCAAGCAATCATGGCACCCAGTAGGCATACAAGTAATGCTGAAAGTTGCAAGAAAAGGTTTAAGCATTTAGGTCTTAGAATTAACAAAGAAAATAGAGATACTATTAGAAAAGAGATAGCCTGTAGCCGGAATGAAGTGTCATTTTGTACACAAAAAGAATGAGGTAAATATGAGTCTGTATGATGACTGACTGACTGACTGACTGACCTGACTGATATAATAACTGACTTGACTGACTTACTGATTTGACTGAATGACTTACTGACTTGACTCACTTACTGAATGACTTAAAGTTAGACCTTTTCACTGAAGAGGACCCTGAAATGGTGTCTAGTGCAGCTGATGCCTTACTGTCAATTGTATATGTACTGTAGAGTAAAGCAGAACAGAAATCCCTTACAGAATTTATGCACACTCCAGTACATCCATTAACTTCAGTACCAGTACCTGTACCATCCACCTCAGCCCAGTAGGACCACAACATAACTCTCCACTCTCTTCACAATCATCCACAAACCCCCACAATTTAAGGTAAGAAATACTATTATTTCTGCTGCAGTTGTAATCTTATGCAGTAAAAACAATATAATACATCACAACAATGAACTACAATTACATATTCACTTTTATTTTTGTAAGATCTGTTGGTCTAAAAAAAAGTTGTTTGGCTTTTTGGGGCTCCCGGGAACGTAACCCTATTCTTCCCATAAGTTCATCTATTTGTCTAACACGGTTTTTCCCTAACACGGTGTTTTCAGGAACGTAACTACCATGTTAACCCTTTGAGGGTCGACAGGCCCTCTCCGAGACTCGTTCTCAGGGTCAGCCAAATATAAACAAAAAAATATTTTTTTTCTTATGAAAAGATAGAGAATCTTTTCCCGATCATAATGACACCAAAACTTTGAAATTTGATGGAAAACTTATGGAATTATGCTCTCGTGAAGTTAGTGGTCTCGGCGATGTTTACGCATCGGCGATTTTGCCCACTTTGAGCCCCATTTTCAGCCAATTCCAATGTATTAGTCGACAAAGAACATGAATATTTCGCTAGAACTCCACTTTTTCTATTGAATGAGTGCACGAAACCACCCATTTACCAATTTCAACTATCTAGTACAGTGGTCAGAATTTAGCAATTTTGCAAATTTCACACAAATTTCAAAAGATGCCAATTTCCGAATAGGGTCCAGAATAAACAAGAAAGACATTCCTGGCACTAAAATGACATTTCCTCTGTTCGTTAGTCACGTCTCAAGGCCCCTCTTACATTCTTTTGCTTTCCACTTTGAATTTTTATTCTCACAAAAAATAGAAGATTTACTGTTATGCAGACTACTGCATTAGCGTAAAAAATGGTATAAATAATATTGGCACACTTGCGAAAGAATATTAGACTCACCAGTTGATGTGTATTGGACGCTTGGCATGATTTGTTTACTTTTGAACTTTGGTAAAAATCGAACATTTCTGCTACTTTGAGCTCAATTTCAAGGTACTTTTCATTGTAAAACCAGTCAAAATCATCTCAATTTCTGTAATATGTCTTCCATTCTATAAAATGAGACCAAGAAAACTAGAATACAACAATAAATACCATATGAAAATACAGTGCAAAGTCGCTGTTTTATTCCAAAAAAACGGTCAAAAATTTTTTTTCTCATTATGCACTGTGTGTTGTAGGATTTTTTTTATACTGTGCACACTGACCACATAGACCCATTCTTTCATATGTAGGCCTACCAGCTTTCTCCCACTAGATTTGAGGGCGCTAGAATTTAGGCGTACTAGTACGTCAAAAACCCTGGGTCGTAAGCCGTACTAGTACAACCGAAACCCTCAAAGGGTTAAACGACGATCTACTGTATATAGTAGTTATACATATACAAAAGCCATCCAAATTAATATGCAGTCCTTGCTGTAGCCACAACCACATGCAAGCATCAAGACAGGGTAGAAAGAGAACACGACCAGTGAAGTTCAGTTTACGTACGTACTTTACAGGACTCACCTGAGTGTCCTGCATATGAACAACTGCAGCTAAACTGACTGACCATGAAAGACAAATGTACTGCCCAGAACAAGAAAACTGAAGAACCATTCAGTACACAAAGACAAACAATAGAAATCAAAGACCCCAACAAAAATAAGTCACTTGTCTGATCTTTTGGGGTCATCCTAGTGAATTGACACACATTACTATGTATAATAATTTGAGTAACTAATTATGTGTACTTTTTTTTTTTTTTTAACAAGTTGGCCGTCTCCCACCGAAGCAGAGTGACCCAAAAAGAAAGAAAATTCCCAAAAAAGAAAATACTTTCATCATCATTTAACACTTTCACCTCACTCATACATAATCACTGTTTTTGCAGAGGTGCCCAGATACAACAGTTTAGAAGCACATATAAATATACAGTGGACCCCCGGTTAACGATATTTTTTCACTCCAGAAGTATGTTCAGGTGCCAGTACTGACCGAATTTGTTCCCATAAGAAATATTGTGAAGTAGATTAGTCCATTTCAGACCCCCAAACATACACGTACAAACGCACTTACATAAATACACTTACATAATTGGTCGCATTCGGAGGTAATCGTTATGCGGGGGTCCACTGTACAGTGGAACCTCGGCTTACGAATTTAATCCATTCCGTGACCTTGTTCGTATCCTGATTTGTTCATATGCTGAGTAAATTTTCCTCATTTAAATTAACTGAAATGCAATTAATCCATTCCAGCCTCTCAGGAGGCATGACAAAATAATGCTAATATCAACTCTACGGCTTAGTTATCTATCACAATTCATCTAATATGACATAATAAACAATAATAACATAGAAACATGATATATACTCTAGAATGAATAAAATAGGCCATAATATGGCAAGTGATGGCGACGCCGGCAGCGGCAGAAAGCATCCGCCGTTTACTCTCCCACTCTAGTATCTTCCCAGTCCATACCCCCACACCTAGCTTGCTGACTGTATGCGAATACTGTCTCTTTGGGTGAGGCGTTAAGAAATTTGTACAACGTAAGACAAAATTATGCATCCCAAGGGTCTGCTGTGGTCACTCAGAGTAACACACCTCCTCTTAGTATTAACCCTTGGTTCGCACTGAGATAGCCATGGTCTAGAAGTACCTACAGCCACCCAGAGGGTTACCAATTTGTATTTTGAAGCATTTGGCACAAAAATATGAAAAAAATTATGAGAAATGTCTAAAAATACACACCCCAGGGCAATATGGGTTCAGAGCAGGTCATTCCTGCCTGTTCCAGCTACTGGATCACTATGACAAGGTCCTGGATGCTAGAGGATAAACAAAATGCAGATGTAGTATACACAGACTTTGCAAAAGCCATTGACAAGTGCGACCATGGTGCAATAGCGCACAAAATGCATGGTGATGAATAACAGGAAAAGTTGGTAGGTGGATTTATAACTTCCTAAGAAATAGAACACGAAGAGTAATAGTAAACAGAGTAAAGTCTGAGGCAGCTATGGCGAACAGCTCTGTTCCACAAGGCACAGTACTCACTCTCATCCTGTATGCCTCATCCTCATATCTGAACATAGACAAAGATGTAAGCCATAGCTCCGTGTCTTCCTTTGCAGATGACACCTGAATTGCCATGACGTCCTCCAGTGAAGACACCGCAAGACTCTGAGCAGACATCAACCAAATCTTCAAATGGGCCACTCAAAACAGTATAAAGTTCAATGAAGAGAAATTTCAACTACTCAGATATGGAAAACTTGAGGTAATTAAAACTATATCAGGGTATACAACAAATTCTAACTATACAATGAAGCAAAAAAGTGCACACGAAAATCACTCCCATTGAAAGCAAAAGACTCAGCAGGAGATGCAACATTCAGCCAATGAACAGCAGGGGCACCATAAGTACACTGAGAGACAAGACAGTAAGTGTCAGAGGCCCAAGACTGTTCAACTCTCTCTCAGCATACGTAAGGGATATTACCAAAAGACCCCTGGCTGTCTTCAAGAAGGCACTGGACAGGTACCTAAAGTCAGTACTTGACCAGCTGGGCTGTGGTTCGTACGTCAGTTTGCGTGCGGCCAGAAGTAACAGCCTGGTTGATCAGACCCTGATCCACCACGAGGCCTGGTCTCAGACTGGGCCACATTAGCATTGACCCTCAAAACCCTCTCCAGGTATGTATTAAAAGCAAGCAAGGTCCTGGGACAATCACATCTTCAATAAAGGCATCCCAAATGAATGCATCTGAATCCTTTTCCTTTGAAGTTGTCAGCATTTTCTGCCTTCTTACTACTAATTGTCAAACAATATTTAAATATATTTATGTAAATTTCTTTATATACATTTCCTTAAGTCTAGGAAAACAACCCCTATTTCATTACTCAGTTTGATTAGTGACTTTTTCTAGTTGATAATGAGACACAAGCAGCAAGTGGAAACTTTATCAAGATGATATTTTGCTAGAAGAGCAGGAATTTTAATGTTGCCTATGTGTCTTACTTACCAGGATTTTTAATGCCTGATTTGATAAAGCCTGTTGTGTAGGTGAAACTTTGTCTAAATAAAACTTTCAAATGCTGCTTATGTGTCATTATCAACTACAACTTCTCAATATTCCTACACCATCTATTAAAATGATGCCTTTTTAAATTAAGACAGCAATATCTAGCATTACTTACAGCTTGACTTCATTACAAATAATTTATTAAGCATTCTAGCATAATTTTATTTTGCCTGTGAAAATCATTTTACCTTTTCACCTGTGGTTGCAAAGGGAGCATTAAACCATTGTTCAAATGTGTTACATGATTTGAAGATGGATGGCAGGAGAAAGTTAAGGAGGGCCCACAGCTCTGGCAACTTATTCTGCAGTGGTGTACCCGTCAGCAGCAGGCGGTGTGGTGCATTGTAGAATGTGTTCAGCGTCTGAAAAAAAGTAAAAATAAAACATCTCACAGAAAAACCTTACTGATAACTGTGCATGTTTACATACTGAGATGTCTATGAGTTTCAGGAGAAAACTTAGTAAGAACCAATTCAAAGAAAGCTGAATTGTCCCCACTAGATTTTCTGTACTACGTAGTTAATCATATAATATCCATCAACTCTCCTTAACTTTGAACTTATCTTTAGATAACCCTACTAACCACTTGAAAACAAATGCAATTTTATAAATATAAACTCACTACATGCACCTGATATTCACACTTTTCTTCACGCTCACAACAGAATCACCCCCTCATCTTTGTCATAGAATATTACAGATAAATTCTAGTATAGCAAAGGTGGGGTAAGGGTCAACCTAGGAAAGGTCGGAGGGAGGGGGTAAAGGAGGTTTTGTGGGTGAAGGGGTTTTTGGGACCTGACGAGCTGTTGGAGAGTGAGCAGGGTAATATTCCGTGAAGGGAGTCAGGGAAACTGGTTAGCCGGACTTGAGTCTTGGAAATGGGAAGTACAACACCTACACTTTAACCCTTAAACTGTCCAAACGTAGATCTACGTTTTTTCAACATTTGAAAGTATGTAAAAAAACGTAGATCTTTTTTTTTTTTTTACATCTGAAAGTGTAAAAAAACTTTGATCTACTTTTTTTTATATTTGAAAATATGTAAAAAATGTAGATCTACTTTTGGAGCACTACACATGTGAACATAGATCTATGTTTGGACAGTTTAAGGGTTAAAGGAGGGGTCTGGGATATTGACAGTTTGGAGGGACTTCTGAACTGCTGTATCTGAGTGCCTTTGCAAAGACAGTGATTATGTATGAGTGAGGTGAATGTGATGAATGATGATGAAAGTATTCTCTTTTTGGGAATTTTCTTTCTTTTTGGGTCACCCTGCCTCAGCGGGAGATGTTCGAAGTCAAAAAATTTCTAACATGAACCTTAGTCCTGGCTGTCTCCCTTCTCATTACAATGTCAAATTCTCTTAACTTCAGAACATCCCTACTAATAATAAAACTACTATGTGCTACTATTTCTTCACTAATGCTACACTCCCCTACCATTCCTAAATCCTAACTTCTGTCTCACTCTTAACTCTTATTCTTCCTTTTCACATATACAAAGGAATCATGCATACACTGAATACTTATATGCATTTATAAATTATATAAATTTTGGAAAAAATTAGTAAGGTCAAAATAATGCTGTCTAGTAGACACTTAACAAGGTGGGAAGCTTAGGGCATCATCAATGTCCGTTGCCTGATTATCAGGGGATGCACAACACATGGCCTGGTGAGCTGATTGAAAAAAAAAATCTATGGACGAACCTCCCACATTTTGTTCATCAGTTTTTTTCTTTTTTTTTTTTTTTTTTTTTTGCAGTGCAATACCTATCTTTCTTCTATGCTATAATTTTTATGTGAAAATTTTCAATACTGTTAAGGCAATCTTGAGCAGTCTGACTGTGCTCTAACTGATCTATTCTATACAGTACTTGCAAGGTTATAGGACATTCCTTCAATGGGGATAACAAGAATCCACAGAAATCCATTAAGAAAAAGATAAGAGTCAGAAAGATACTGGGAGATTTTCTTTATAAATAAAGTTGTAAAATAATGAAAAAACTGAAAGAGTAGGTACTAAGTGCTACAACAATTAGAAATAAAAAAATATATGATAAAACACATGAATCCTAGGTAGTAGGTTGGTAGACAGCAACCGCCCACGGAGGTACTACCCTCCTGCCAAGTGAGTGTGAAACAGAAGCCTGTAATTGTTTTATATGATGGTAGGATTGCTGGTGTCTTTTTTCTGTTTCATAAACTTACAAGATTTTAGATGCGTCTTGCTACTTCTACTTACACTTAGGTCACACTACACATGCATGTACAAGCATATATATATATATATATATACACACACACCTCTGGGTTTTCTTTTTTCTTATTGGTTCTTCTTCTTGTTTATCTCCTCTTATCTCAATGGGAAAGTGGGACAAAATTCTTCTGTAAACCACACATTTCGTAAGAGGTGACTAAAATGCCAGGAGCATGGGGCTAGTAACCCCTTCTCCTGTATAAATTACTAAATTTATGAAGAGAAACTATAGTTTTTCTTTATGGGCCACCCTGCTTTGGAGGGATATGGCCAATGCATTGAAAGAAGAGGAAAATACATAAATGAAGATGGGACATCATGAGCATAGCTTTGCTCCTGCAGGTACAAATAGGTAACTGCACATAATTAATACCTGTGTGAGTTTACAATGGTGGTTCTTCATGCGGTGACCTTCATCAATGATCATGTACTTCCATCGCAGCTTTGATAAAACAGCTTTATCCTTTATAATGTATTCATATGTTGTGAGCAGGACATTTAACTTTGTTGCTCTCATTTGACTCTGGACAATCCGGCGAACTTGAGGTGACCCTTTGTAAACCACAACCTGATGAAGTATTAAATAAGCCATCACAGTAAAGCCTCAATATAATGGACTTCTGAAATAATAGACAAAATCCACTAGATAAATTGTATTTTCAATGTTTATTGTGGTATATTCAAAAAGTGTATGTACAGTACTATACTATGCAGAGTCCTATAATGTTTTTCTGATTTAACGGGCACTCTAAAGTGGGTAAAAATGTTATGGAGGGAGTAGTAGGTAAATTTGGGGTGCCAGGGGTAAATGTAAATGGGGAGTCTTTAATTGAGCTATGTGTAGAAAGAGATTTGGTAATAAGTAATACATATTTTATGAAAAAGAGGATAAATAAATATACAAGGTATGATGTAGCACGTAATGAAAGTAGTTTGTTAGATTATGTATTGGTGGATAAAAGGTTGATGGGTAGGCTCCAGGATGTACATGTTTATAGAGGGGCAACTGATATATCAGATCATTATTTAGTTGTAGCTACAGTTAGAGTAAGAGGTAGATGGGAAAAGAGGAAGGTGGCAACAACAAGTAAGAGGGAGGTGAAAGTGTATAAACTAAGGGAGGAGGAAGTTCGGGTGAGATATAAGCGACTGTTGGCAGAAAGGTGGGCTAGTGAAAAGATGAGTAGTGGGGGAGTTGAAGAGGGTTGGAATAGTTTTAAAAATGCAGTATTAGAATGTGGGGCAGAAGTTTGTGGTTATAGGAGGGTGGGGGCAGGTGGAAAGAGGAGTGATTGGTGGAATGATGAAGTAAAGGGTGTGATAAAAGAGAAAAAGTTAGCTTATGAGAGGTTTTTACAAAGTAGAAGTGTTTATAGAAGAGCAGAGTATATGGAGAGTAAAAGAAAGGTGAAGAGAGTAGTGAGAGAGTGCAAAAGGAGAGCAGATGATAGAGTGGGAGAGGCACTGTCAAGAAATTTTAATGAAAATAAGAAAAAATTTTGGAGTGAGTTAAACAAGTTAAGAAAGCCTAGGGAAACTATGGATTTGTCAGTTAAAAACAGAGTAGGGGAGTTAGTAGATGGGGAGAGGGAGGTATTAGGTAGATGGCGAGAATATTTTGAGGAACTTTTAAATGTTGAGGAAGAAAGGGAGGCGGTAATTTCATTCACTGGTCAGGGAGGTATACCATCTTTTAGGAGTGAAGAAGAGCAGAATGTAAGTGTGGGGGAGGTACGCAAGGCATTACGTAGAATGAAAGGGGGTAAAGCAGCTGGAACTGATGGGATCATGACAGAAATGTTAAAAGCAGGGGGGGATATAGTGTTGGAGTGGTTGGTACTTTTGTTTAATAAATGTATGAAAGAGGGGAAGGTACCTAGGGATTGGCAGAGAGCATGTATAGTCCCTTTATATAAAGGGAAAGGGGACAAAAGAGATTGTAAAAATTATAGAGGAATAAGTTTATTGAGTATACCAGGAAAAGTGTACGGTAGGGTTATAATTGAAAGAATTAGAGGTAAGACAGAATGTAGGATTGCAGATGAGCAAGGAGGTTTCAGAGTGGGTAGGGGATGTGTAGATCAAGTGTTTACATTGAAGCATATATGTGAACAGTATTTAGATAAAGGTAGGGAAGTTTTTATTGCATTTATGGATTTAGTAAAGGCATATGATAAGAGTGGATAGGGGAGCAATGTGGCAGATGTTGCAAGTATATGGAATAGGTGGTAAGTTACTAAATGCTGTAAAGAGTTTTTATGAGGATAGTGAGGCTCAGGTTAGGGTGTGTAGAAGAGAGGGAGACTACTTCCCGGTAAAATTAGGTCTTAGACAGGGATGTGTAATGTCACCATGGTTGTTTAATATATTTATAGATGGGGTTGTAAAAGAAGTAAATGCTAGGGTGTTCGGGAGAGGGGTGGGATTAAATTATGGGGAATCAAATTCAAAATGGGAATTAACACAGTTACTTTTTGCTGATGATACTGTGCTTATGGGAGATTCTAAAGAAAAATTGCAAAGGTTAGTGGATGAGTTTGGGAATGTGTGTAAAGGTAGAAAGTTGAAAATGAACATAGAAAAGAGTAAGGTGATGAGGGTATCAAATGATTTAGATAAAGAAAAATTGGATATCAAATTGGGGAGGAGGAGTATGGAAGAAGTGAATGTTTTCAGATACTTGGGAGTTGACGTGTCGGCGGATGGATTTATGAAGGATGAGGTTAATCATAGAATTGATGAGGGAAAAAAGGTGAGTGGTGCATTGAGGTACATGTGGAGTCAAAAAATGTTATCTATGGAGGCAAAGAAGGGAATGTATGAAATATAGTAGAACCAACACTCTTATATGGGTGTGAAGCTTGGGTGGTAAATGCAGCAGCGAGGAGACGGTTGGAGGCAGTGGAGATGTCCTGTCTAAGGGCAATGTGTGGTGTAAATATTATGCAGAAAATTCGGAGTGTGGAAATTAGGAAAAGGTGTGGAGTTAATAAAAGTATTAGTCAGAGGGCAGAAGAGGGGTTGTTGAGGTGGTTTGGTCATTTAGAGAGAATGGATCAAAGTAGAATGACATGGAAAGCATATAAATCTATAGGGGAAGGAAGGCGAGGTAGGGGTCGTCCTCGAAAGGGTTGGAGAGAGGGGGTAAAGGAGGTTTTGTGGGCAAGGGGCTTGGACTTCCAGCAAGCGTGCGTGAGCGTGTTAGATAGGAGTGAATGGAGACGAATGATACTTGGGACCTGACGATCTGTTGGAGTGTGAGCAGGGTAATATTTAGGACTTGAGTCCTGGAAATGGGAAGTACAATGCCTGCACTTTAAAGGAGGGGTTTGGGATATTGGCAGTTTGGAGGGATATGTTGTGTATCTTTATATGTGTATGCTTCTAGACTGTTGTATTCTGAGCACCTCTGCAAAAACAGTGATAATGTGTGAGTGTGGTGAAAGTGTTGAATGATGATGAAAGTATTTTCTTTTTGGGGATTTTCTTTCTTTTTTGGGTCACCCTGCCTCGGTGGGAGACGGCCGACTTGTTGAAAAAAAAAAAAAAAAAAAAAAAAATTCAGGGAAACCAGTTATTTTCATATAGTCAGACTTGAGTCCTGGAAATGGGAAGTACAATGCCTGCACTTTAAAGGAGGGGTTTGGGATATTGGCAGTTTGGAGGGATATGTTGTGTATCTTTATACGTATATGCTTCTAAACTGTTGTATTCTGAGCACCTCTGCAAAAACAGTGATTATGTGTGAGTGTGGTGAAAGTGTTGAATGATGATGAAAGCATTTTCTTTTTGGGGATTTTCTTTCTTTTTTGGGTCATCCTGCCTCGGTGGGAGACGGCCGACTTGTTGAAAAAAAAAAAAAAAAGGGTTTATTGTATACCAATGATAATATAAATATAAAAGGTATGTAGTGTGTTCAGGTGTCTGTGGAAAGAAAGAACTTTAACTATTGAGGTAAAATGGGAAATGTACCAGAGTATACTGGGAAAAAAAGGTAAACAATAATTATTTCAAATACATAAAATACTTTGCTAGAATGTTTGAGTGTTTTCAGTCAACACATTTTCTTATAAGTGGTACAACTGTATATTAGGAAAAACAATGCTTAAAATAGCTAAATATATGGCTATATGAAATGAAATTATTAAAATTATGCAATTCAGTTTTTTTCTATTCAGTCCAGGGATTCGATCTTCGGACCTCAGTTGTGAGAGGCATGACTCTCACCACTAGACAACAGATGATACTGTTGTATTTGCACACCTCTGGCAAGACAGTGATAGTGTGAATGATGGTGAAAGTGCTTCTTTTTTGGGTAACCCTACCTCTGTGAGAAATGACCAGTGTATTAAAAAAATATGTAATTCATACCTAGATTGTTTTATTAACACACTAGCCATATCCCACAGTGGTAGAGTGACCCAAAAAGAAAACACTTTCATCATTACTCACTCATCATCTTGCCAGACGCATGCCAATACTACAGTTCAAAACTGCCAATGTCCCACAGGAGGACCTCCGTATCCACGGGTCCGGTTTCCGTGGTTTACCCTGGCCTGACAATAACCCTTAATTTTGCTTAACAATGACACCAAAGTGCAAAAGTAGTGATGGTGAGAGTTCTTCAAAGCCTAAGAGAAAGCATGAAGTGCTTCCCATCAGTGAAAAAGTGCTAATTCTCAACTTTATCATAGGTATGTATGCAAACAAAAAATTACTTAAATATAGGGTCTGCTACTATCCATGGTTTCTGGTATCCATGGTAGGTCTTGGAACTTACCTCCCTGCCGATACAGGGGTCCTACTGTATGTAGATACCCTGCACAATTTGAAACTTCAGCCTATTACCAAATGTATATTATATTATAAAGTGTATATTACTAAGTGTTTTAATCTTCAGAATATCTAACTTGACCTGACTGTGGCTTCACCCTTCCCCCCTTCTTTCTTTGTTTTTCTCTATTCTTCTTCTTGTGACTTCTCTTCTAATCTTCTCACCTTTTACCTGACTTGTCTACTAACTTCTAGCACAGTATTTTCTTTTTCATGTGTAACTTAATATTAACAATAGTCCAATTCAATCCAATATGGCTTCTAAAGTTTCCTCTTCAAATAACGTTCCTTCTGACATTAACTAACCTGTACCTTTAGACATAAAAAACACGTCAATAATTTTCAGTTTAAACCACTGAAATGTGATATACACTCCAAAAATACAAGTTATACAAGCTTCTGACTTAAAAGCTTCTCCCTTCTCACCTGCACTGTGGGGGCCCATTTCTCGAATTCCAGAGCCCAATTGGATATGGTGGAGAGCGGAACAATAATGAGATATGGTCCATTATTCTTTTTTGTCTCAATTAAGTATGTGAGAAGTGCAATGGTCTGGATTGTTTTTCCCAAGCCCATCTCATCAGCCAGGATACCATTGAGATTATTATTATACAAAGACACAAGCCACTCAAGACCCTGAAAGATATGCAAACAGACATTCATATTAATTTTATTTTATGTGCATTAAAATTAAACATTTGAAGAATAAAAGGTGTGATAAAAATAAATGCCAAAAAGGGGAAGATGGTGGTATTTATTCTCAACTAATCCCCACACTGGAGAAAAAAACAAACATTTTTTGTTATCATTAGACCATAAAATCTAGTCCAATTCCTGATTAGTGACTTATTTATGAATTCATTCAGCCAGTCTTGCTGACATCTCTTCACTGATAGTCACTCTTTGTTTCTTTCTCCTACAGTAGTCTTCAATCCACTGGAGTACATTCCACATTATTTCTACCTGCACCACAAGTTTTAACCCCTGTCTTTTGTGGGACACACATCAATGCCTTTTTACAGTCTTAAGAAAATGCAATCAATTTCAATCTCTCCCTCTCACTATTTCAATCTCAATCTCTCTCTCTCTCTCAATCTATCACAATCTCAATCCATATTATATTTCAAATAACTCCTTGTCAACTACCTGGTGAGGAAAGAAAGGGCAAGGAAGAGGAGGAGGTCATAATCCACTTTATTGAAAGCCTCCTTGACTATATTTATTATACAACATTTCCTCCTCTTATGCCACAATATAAACTTCCTCTTGGATTATTTGTTTATATGATGTTGATTGAATTACCCATTTGTAGCAATATGATTAGAGCTCATGGTTTCTCATCTTCAATATTTAATATGTTGTATAATTGCATTAATTATAAAGGTATTATTATCAATTTAACTCAGCCATAGCTATTAAATGAAGCTATTTCTTGCTTAGTTTTGACCAACATGCTATTCATAATAAATTTTTCTAACTACACAAATTATGAAACAAAAATATTCACAACTCATTTATGTATCTCCAGAAAATACCTGAATTTATTTATACTGACCTTAACCTGGTATTCCTTAAGAAGTCCATTAACCATTATTTTGGCTTGCTCCGTAACAGTTTCCTTGATAGTGTGAGCTATGGAGTAATAGTTTCTCTCTCCAGACGCATCCTTGTATTCATCATCCTCAACCTTTGCTTTCTTCAGCACCTCACGTGGGTTGCCATCAACATCTACGTTGGATTTTTTATCTTCTGAAGGTTCTGTTAAAATAAATAGTTTACACTTCAAAACTCTATATATATTCCATTACTCCATTCCACTTTCACATATACTGACGATTCACAAAATGTTTATAGTACAAATAAATAAACAAACATTCACAAAGAACCTAGAGCTCACTCCTTGCAAATACAAATAGTAGGTAATTACAAGTGCTATATGAAAACTAAAACCAAATACAGGACCACAACTTTAGCATGGTGTCCACAGCTGAAGAAACAGATAAAAGAAATACAGTATGTACAGTAAAATTTGTCAGATAAGATCACCAATGGATATCACATTAAAGGGAGGGAGTATGGTAGAATGCATTTATCATTCATAGGAACAAAAATGCACAAGTTAAATTTATTTACATTTATAAGATGATTCAACAAGAAAACAGACTTGGGCATAAGAAATCTAGAGAGTATTTTTTTTTTTTTTAAATCTAGCTTTGGCTTTAAATCTAGAGGATGTGAACCAGACCAAAAGAAAACAGGCATCATAACAACTTTCTTGTTTCCTGACCATTATAATTTGTATCAAAAATATGACTATAAAAACATACGTATATGTTGTGTATCTTTATATGTATATGCTTCTAAGCTGTTGTGTTCTAAGCACCTCTGCAAAAACAGTGATTATGTGTGAGTGAGGTGAAAGAGTTGAATGATGATGAGAGTATTTTCTTTTTTGGGGATTTTCTTTCTTTTTGGGTCACCCTGCCTCGGTGGGAGACGGCCGACTCATTAAAAAAAAAAAAATCAATATGAACCCCAACAAGTGTTTGTCATTAAAGTAAGTCAAGTGGAAGCACAAGGCATAATTTAACATCTATTACGAACACAAGGTGTAGACTACTGGCTTGCACACCTTACTGTAGCATAATAACCACTGAGGAACAAACAAAAAGGCAGCAGAGTAAATGATTATATTTCCTTCACCAAAATAATCAGGTATTTACAATATATTATATACACAGCCTATGTACAATATACATATACAGTTACGTAAAATGAGGCAAATGCAAGCAAGAGACATGGTAAGAGCCATAGAGACCAGACTTGAAGGCAAGTCTCATGATTGAGTTTAGCCAATTCTAGCTCTAACAAAGCTGACTCCCCTGAGACAACCCCAATTCACCAATTCACCTGTTTCCCCAAATAGATGTTGGACTAGTTGTTCAGGCGTTCGTCCTCCTGCATTACAAAAGAACCAAAGCAGGGATCAGCGATCAATACTCCTGTAGCAGCAGAAACCTCAGTTTGAAATGCCATGTTACCCGAGTCAAACTTTAATTTGTTGAGTACTCACGATACTCTATACCAATAGAATAAGCAATTCACCAGCAGCACTGTAGATATAGTCCAGGCAAGTTTTGCAGATATATTAGGTCCCCAATAGCCTAACATGTGTTGGTGGCATAATCCATTATAACATAACAATTGCAGAGATCGTTGGATTATGTAAGGCAAAATATCAAATGGAAAAAACAGAAGTAGTGAATAATGTGTGTAAGCATCCAGTGAGGACCTAGTTTCATCAGTTCCTTGAGGACAGTCTTCATGACATGCACACACCAAAAGCACATCTGTGGAAGCCTAGAAAAATACCCCCACTAATGTTAACTGCAATAATGTACCTGGAATTGGTCTTTTAACATTTGCCCAAATCTTTCAATCAGTGTGGTGCAAGATTTTTAGGAAAAACAGTGCTCCTTTCCATAACACAAAATCTGTTGTTCAATGGCTTTGTAACTGTAAGGTACACTTCTTCAATGACTGGCCAGGTAACTCCCCAGACTTGAAACTCACTGAGGATCTCTGGCTTGAGATAGAGATCTACTAGGAAAGGCTATCAGCCCCCTCCCTAAGCTTTAGGATGCCATCCATGAGTCATGGGGTAATTTACCCCATGAAACCCTGAAGGATGCCCTGATGAGCAAGGAACAACCTATTTTGTGGTCATGATTTTAGAAGGGGACCGGTTTACTTAAATGACAAGAACTGTATACAGAAAGAAGAGCTAAATTTCTTTAAAAAAATTTTTGAGTTTCAATTTTTAATACACTAGCCTTCTCCCACAAAAGTAGGGTGAACCAAAAAAGAAACACTTCCACCATCATTCACTCCATCACTGTCTTGCCAGAGGAAAGCCAATATCACAGTTCGGATAATCCCCTGAACTGCAAATATTCCCATCCTTTCTTCAGAGTGCAGGCACTTCACTTCCCACCTCCAGGACTCAAGTCTGGCTAGCTGGTTTCCCTTAATCCCTTCCCAAAATGTTACCTTGCTCATACTCCAACAGCTCAAAGTCCTAAAAACCATTTGCCTCCACTAACTCCTATCTAACATGCTCACACATACCTGCTGAATGTCCAAGCCCCTTACACACAAAAACCTCTCTTACCCCCTCCCTCCATCCTTTCCTAGGACAACCCCAACCCCTCCTCCCCTCCAGATTAATACATCCTCTAAGTTATCCTATTTTGCTCCATCCTCTCTAAATGACCAAACCACCTTAACAATCCCTCCTTAGCCCTCTGAATAATACTTTTAGCAAAAAAATACCGACAATGTTACAGGAATATAAGTTAAAGGGGCTCCAATAAAAAATAAACCACATTGCTTGGCATAACCTGGTTGTTCTAGGTTACTAACCTGCAGGGATAATAATATAGAGTATATCTTTAACTATCATGATGTTTTCTACAGTTAATTTCAGAAGAAACAATATAAGGTAATATCCATAAGCCACTAGGTAGTAGGTTGGTAGACAGCAACCGCCCAGGGAGGTACTACCGTCCTGCCAAGTGAGTGTAAAACGGAAACCTGTAATTGTTTTACATGATGGTAGGATTGCTGGTGTCTTTTTTTTCTGTCTCATACACATGCAAAATTTCAGGTACATCTTGCTACTTCTACTTACACTTAGGTCACACTACACATACATGTACAAGCATATATATACACACTCCTCTGGGCTTTCTTCTATTTTCTTTCTAGTTCTTGTTCTTGTTTATTTCCTCTTATCTCCATGGGGAAGTGGAACAGAATTCTTCCTCCATAAGCCATGCATGTTGTAAGAGGCGACTAAAATGCCGGGAGCAAGGGGCTAGTAACCCCTTCTCCCGTATAAATTACTAAATTTAAAAGAGAAACTTTCGTTTTTCTTTTTGGGCCACCCTGCCTTGGTGGGATACGGCCGGTGTGTTGAAAGAAAGAAAGAAAGAAAGTTCTTGTTCTTGTTTATTTCCTCTTATCTCCATGGGGAAGTGGAACAGAATTCTTCCTCCGTAAGCTATGCGGGTTGTAAGAGGCGACTAAAATGCCGGGAGCAAGGGGCTAGTAACCCCTTCTCCTGAAATTATTACTAAATGTAAAAGGAGACACTTATGTTTTTCCTTTTAGGCCACCCCTCCTCGGTGGGATACGGCTGGTGTGTTGAAAGAAAGATCCATAAGCCATGAGTGTAGCAAGAGGCAACTAAAACGCTGGGAGCAAGGGGCTAGTTATCCATTCTCCTGTATACATTACCCAATTTAAAAAGAGAAACTTTTTTCTTTTTGGGCCACCTTGTTTCGGTGGGACATGGCCAGTTTGTTGCAAAAAGAAGAAGATCCAGATGATTATATACCTTTCAAAATTAAAATCAGAAGTTTTGCATTCTCAATAGGCATATACAGAAGAACACAACACTTACGCTCTCCTTCTGTTTCCTTTTCTTCTTTTGAATCTTCTTCATCAGAAGTGTCTGTATCTTCTTCAGGCAGAACCTCCCAGCCAGGATTGGCAGTCAAGAATGCTTCAAGATTTTCTTCGAGTGGAGCTTGTATGCCACTGACAATTGCTCCAGTTGCTGATTCCATAACAGGAATGTGTCGCTTTAGAGCATCACCTTCTTCTCCATTATCAGCAACTGCTTCACGTGCCCGCCGACGTTCCTCACGCTGTTCAAACAAAACTCTCATACTACAGTCTAATTATGTACAAAGTTGCAACTGTTCACTGGAAAAAGCTATTAGCCAGGAGGTTATAGCATAAAAACTAAGCAATATTTCATTAGCCACTAACATACATTTCACCCTATGAAAAATAAAGCATCAACTTGAAAAACACTCACAGCTTTCTTTCTCTCCTCCCGGTGCTTCAGACGCTGATCCTCCTTATGAGCTTTGACCATCTCTGTCAGGTTGGCAATGAACTCATCAGTCTGTGTGAGAAGGTATGCTAAACGTTTATCTTTCTTTTCGTCGATCAGTTTACGGTAGCCTTCCTCATCTTCCAGCATGAGGCGGCGCAAACGCTCTTTCTCTATACGTTCTTGTTCCTTTTGCTTTTCTCTCTCAGCATTCATGTGGTGCATTAACAGGGCCTTGTTTAACTTACTAATCTTCTGATTGTTTTGACGATGGAACTCCCTGAAATCACAAGGAATCTTACATTTAACAATATTAAAGTGGCATTAATAAGGACAGCCAAAATATTGAAATGATATAAGACCTAATACACACAACAGTGTACATCTTTCTTTCTTTCTTTCAACACACCGGCCGTATCCCACCGAGGCAGGGTGGCCCAAAAGGAAAAACAAAAGTTTCTCCTTTCACATTTAGTAATATATACAGGAGAAGGGGTTAACAGTGTACATATATCAAAGAAATTGAAAAATTAAAAAAAATATTATTCATACTTGAGCTCTCTACCATGCTGCAGCACAGCATTAAGGTATTCTTGGTGCTTCTGCCTCTTCTTCCGCTCAGCTTCTAATTTCTGCTGCTTTTCTAGTTTCTCAGTAATACGAGCTTCTCTTAGTCCTTGCCGTTTGGTTCTCTTGTAGGCCTTAATATTTATTGCTGTTTCTAAAGTTGTATCTTTACGATTGCAGCCTACAACCTGAAAAAATAAAAGGGAATTTTCTTTACGAAACTGTTAGATAAAGAATTAAAAAGTTAGCTTAATTGTAAGACTAGCCTTGTCTGGCTGGCAATCAAACATGATGCCTAGTTGCCATATTCAATGGGAAAGGTTCAACTAGGTCTTACAGATGCCTGTCTTGCCCCTCTCTTATTATCATGCCTGACTTCCTAGTTACAATTGATCTTGGCTCCTGTTCTCTTACACAAGTCCATGTGAACCCTGCCATGGGCTTGCATTTATCCCCCACACATCTTTTAAGCTCAAATAAAATTACCTTACACCAAAAAAAAATTGTGGCAAATGGAGGATACAACTGTGTGGACCTCAGAAGAGAGGAAAGAGAACTGAACTACTGCAACAGACATTCCTTAAGCCAGCAAGCCAGCCAGCCATCAAAATACGGCTCTGAGAGGAGTCTTTGTGGTAATTCAAAATGCGTAAGACAGAATAACCCAGATTCCATGTTCAAATTCTTCAAAGTTTCTATGAAAATTGTCTCAGTGCCATAGTTGTGATGTCTGACCATGTTGGTCATCTCTCAGCAATTTGGATTGTCAGCCACCCCACGTATAAGTCCCTCAGTCTCAGGCCAGCCCACAAGCCAGGCAAAGCCAGTCCAAGTTTGTGTCACAATGCCGATCCAGGTTTGCGGTGTCTTAGCTGCTTAGCTAGACCTTCACTCACACACACTCCCAACATATGGAATGGTTCCCCAAGCCAATCAAAAAGGCAGCCAGCCTTTTTGATTGGCTTGGGGAACTGCCACCCCATTGATACAGCAAGTCAGCAGCTGCAACGTAGTCACATTGTCATGTTTCGTATGACTTTATTGTACAGAGAAGCATTTGTTAGTTCTTAAAAGGTGTCCTATTTTTGTAGAAAATGAGCAGTTTTGTAGATACCATTTGATGCAACCAGTTCTCTGAGGCACAAAAAGACTAGTTATTACAGTTTCTCTACAACCCCATAGACAACTGTATACATGTCGCCAGGAAAAAAAAAGTTGAGCGTTTGTGCAAAACAATATGCTGTATTGTAGGTCTTCAACCATTTGTTAACATTTGAATACACTGCTACAGTTGCAGCATGCTACTGTGTGGAGTTGCACCCTGCCTCAGTAATTCACTGTGTTAATAGTATGTGTATGGTGTACCTGCAACCATATTATTGGTCTTAGCCTGTTTTCAGAGGTACACAATGCTTCTGAAGTAAACCACATCTCACATTCTCCTAGTCTGATCCAGGGAACTGCAACCAATTCCTCTGTCCAAGGGAGGATGTAGAGAATTTTTCTCCAACTGGGAGCAATGACCCCCCTCTCTACTTTCCCACACTGGCAGGGCAGAGTCAGCATGAGGTCACGACCTTTTCTTTTTTGCACTAGCAGAAATGAAGCAAGAGCTCATGTCTTGTAACACAGCTTAACTGAAGCATACCAGAAATATCCATTTATCTTAAAATGTGCTCCTTACTCTGCAGAATCAGACACTTTATAATGGGATTACTCACACGATATTCACACGTGTACAGCAGACCTCTTCCCCCCTCCCTTACAGGAGTATCTGAAATTTATTATGTACATCCATGTGTTTGTCTGAGGAAGCTATTTTCTCAGACCAGGAAAAATTTGAGATAATATGCCTCTAACCTAATAATATAGCTAGTGGCATTATATTGAATAATCCACACCTCTGACTCAAGAAATCTTCACTTCTTAATTGTGTTGAGTCACCAAAGCTGGCACCTAACAATGTTATCTCAGCAGAAACCTGCCTGTAAATAGAAGTGCTGGAGGTTGCAACAGGCAGATTGCAGTTTAAATTTGACCAGTGACGAAGTGACCGGGTATCTCTGGCCAGGCCATGCCACACTGAAACACAGAAACATTCATGGCTGTATTCACGTGCTTCAGAAACCCAAGTTGAGCACTGTCAATTTCTAGGACTCTTCCTGCTATGAATAATTACGGATATATTGCAAGTACAGCAAATGCCGCAGAAAAATTATTCTCCATGTTGCTCATTCATTTACCAAAGATGCAAGGAGAACTTTCTTCTTACTTGTGGACATTATCCACAGATATAGTCCACAAGCTGAACTTGTGGACAAGTGACAGTTGTCATGCAACATTCAATATGCCAAGCTGACAAAAGAAGTGAATTAGATCCAACATCATCTCTTCAATCAAGCCTGTGAAATCAACCTCCCTCAACATAATAATCTCAAAGGATCCCACTACAATGAGCCAGGTAAGTCAATATTCTACCCAACATCCGCCTATGGTAGATGCTAAGTGAATTAAGGCTAACCATCGAGGCTGTGAAACATAGGCGATCGCCCACACCCAGGTGAGATGCACCCACTTCTTGCCAGGTGATTTTTTTTTTTTTTTTTTTATCACACTGGCCGATTCCCACCAAGGCAGGGTGGCCCGAAAAAGAAAAACTTTCACCATCATTCACTCCATCACTGTCTTGCCGGAAGGGTGCTTTACACTTCAGTTTTTAAACTGCAACATTAACACCCCTCCTTCAGAGTGCAGGCACTGTACTTCCCATCTCCAGGACTCAAGTCCGGCCCGCCGGTTTCCCTGAACCCCTTCATAAATGTTACTTTGCTCACACTCCAACAGCACGTCAAGTATTAAAAACCATTTGTCTCCATTCACTCCTATCAAACACGCTCACACATGCCTGCTGGAAGTCCAAGCCCCTCGCACACAAAATCTCCTTTACCCCCTCCCTCCAACCTTTCCTAGGCCGACCCCTACCCCGCCTTCCTTCCACTACAGACTGATACACTCTTGAAGTCATTCTGTTTCGCTCCATTCTCTCCACATGTCCGAACCACCTCAACAACCCTTCCTCAGCCCTCTGGACAACAGTTTTGGTAATCCCGCACCTCCTCCTAACTTCCAAACTACGAATTCTCTGCATTATATTCACACCACACATTGCTCTCAGACATGACATCTCCACTGCCTCCAGCCTTCTCCTCGCTGCAACATTCATCACCCATGCTTCACACCCATATAAGAGCGTTGGTAAAACTATACTCTCATACATTCCTCTCTTTGCCTCCAAGGACAAAGTTCTTTGTCTCCACAGACTCCTAAGTGCACCACTCACCCTTTTCCCCTCATCAATTCTATGATTCACCTCATCTTTCATAGACCCATCTGCTGACACGTCCACTCCCAAATATCTGAATACATTCACCTCCTCCATACTCTCTCCCTCCAATCTTATATCCAATCTTTCATCACCTAATCTTTTTGTTATCCTCATAACCTTACTCTTTCCTGTATTCACTTTCAATTTTCTTCTTTTGCATACCCTACCAAATTCATCCACCAATCTCTGCAACTTCTCTTCAGAATCTCCCAAGAGCACAGTGTCATCAGCAAAGAGCAACTGTGACAACTCCCACTTTATGTGTGATTCTTTATCTTTTAACTCCACGCCTCTTGCCAAGACCCTCGCATTTACTTCTCTTACAACCCCATCTATAAATATATTAAACAACCACGGTGACATCACACATCCTTGTCTAAGGCCTACTTTTACTGGGAAATAATTTCCCTCTTTCCTACATACTCTAACTTGAGCCTCACTATCCTCGTAAAAACTCTTCACTGCTTTCAGTAACCTACCTCCTACACCATACACCTGCAACATCTGCCACATTGCCCCCCTATCCACCCTGTCATACGCCTTTTCCAAATCCATAAATGCCACAAAGACCTCTTTAGCCTTATCTAAATACTGTTCACTTATATGTTCACTGTAAACACCTGGTCCACACACCCCCTACCTTTCCTAAAGCCTCCTTGTTCATCTGCTATCCTATTCTCCGTCTTACTCTTAATTCTTTCAATAATAACTCTACCATACACTTTGCCAGGTATATTCAACAGACTTATCCCCCTATAATTTTTGCACTCTCTTTTATCCCCTTTGCCTTTATACAAAGGAACTATGCATGCTCTCTGCCAATCCCTAGGTACCTTACCCTCTTCCATACATTTATTAAATAATTGCACCAACCACTCCAAAACTATATCCCCACCTGCTTTTAACATTTCTATCTTTATCCCATCAATCCCGGCTGCCTTACCCCCTTCCATTTTACCTACTGCCTCATGAACTTCCCCCACACTTACAACTGGCTCTTCCTCACTCCTACAAGATGTTGTTCCTCCTTGCCCTATACACGAAATCACAGCTTCCCTATCTTCATCAACATTTAACAATTCCTCAAAATATTCCCTCCATCTTCCCAATACCTCTAACTCTCCATTTAATAACTCTCTTCTCCTATTTTTAACTGACAAATCCATTTGTTCTCTAGGCTTTCTTAACTTGTTAATCTCACTCCAAAACTTTTTCTTATTTTCAACAAAATTTGTTGATAACATCTCACCCACTCTCTCATTTGCTCTCTTTTTACATTGCTTCACCACTCTCTTAACCTCTCTCTTTTTCTCCATATACTCTTCCCTCCTTGCATCACTTCTACTTTGTAAAAACTTCTCATATGCTAACTTTTTCTCCCTTACTACTCTCTTCACATCATCATTCCACCAATCGCTCCTCTTCCCTCCCGCACCCACTTTCCTGTAACCACAAACTTCTGCTGAACACTCTAACACTACATTTTTAAACCTACCCCATACCTCCTCGACCCCATTGCCTATGCTCTCGTTAGCCCATCTATCCTCCAATAGCTGTTTATATCTTACCCTAACTGCCTCCTCTTTTAGTTTATAAACCTTCACCTCTCTCTTCCCTGATGCTTCTATTCTCCTTGTATCCCATCTACCTTTTACTCTCAGTGTAGCTACAACTAGAAAGTGATCTGATATATCTGTGGCCCCTCTATAAACATGTACATCCTGAAGTCTACTCAACAGTCTTTTATCTACCAATACATAATCCAACAAACTACTAGTCATTTTGCCCTACATCATATCTTGTATACTTATTTATCCTCTTTTTCTTAAAATATGTATTACCTATAACTAAACCCCTTTCTATACAAAGTTCAATCTAAGGGCTCCCATTATCATTTACACCTGGCACCCCAAACTTACCTACCACACCCTCTCTAAAAGTTTCTCCTACTTTAGCATTCAGATCCCCTACCACAATTACTCTCTCACTTGGTTCAAAAGCTCCTATACATTCACTTAACATCTCCCAAAATCTCTCTCTCTCCTCTGCATTCCTCTTCTCCCATTGCATACACGCTTATTATGACCCACTTCTTGCATCCAACCTTTACTTTAATCCACATAATTCTTGAATTATGGTGATATACTTGCAATAATTGTTAACATGGATCTTCAGGGCGAGTATTAAATCTGGTTATAATCACACTTTTTTCCAGCCCAAGGGGAACCAGACAGCAGAAATTGGAGGAGACTCCTGGGAGAGGCTGCAAGGGTCTTGTGCTGTCATTGATACAATAAGTACCCCAGAACAAGAATGGTCTTTTTATTGTATTATATATCTTTCAGATACCCATCTCCCCAATTCTCTTCCCCCCCCCCCCAGAGGACCAACACGGCTGTCAAAACATTTTACATTCATGGATCTCAACAGTCAACAATACCACATTTGTTCTCTCTAGACTGGAATAATGCTGTACACTAATGGCTCCTTTAAAGTAAAAAAAAAAATTATATCTGGAGAATGTACAGAGAATCTTCACTGCCCATATAAATTCAGTCAAGTACCGTACTTAAATTATTGGGAAAGCTTGAGGTCCCTCGAACTGTACTGCTGAAGCTATGAAAGCTTCAGCAGATGGTGCAATATACACCTCCCCCCCCATGAAAAGCAGGAGTGCAATGAGTACATGAAGAGATAACTCAATAAGTAAAAAGGGATCAACACTTTTCAAAACACTTCTTTCATACATAAAATTACCAACAAACCCCCTTCAAGAGAGAACTTAAGTTCTTGAAGTCAGTCGTGTTGTAGTGCCTATGTTGGACTGTCTACAATTAACACCAACAGCCTGGTATGATCAGGCCATCAACCTGTTACCAGAACATGAGGGCAGAAACTAATAATGTCATCCTCAAAACACACTTTTCACTTTCTCCATGATTTTATTAATGTAAATTGCTAAAACTCTGCAAAAAAGTACTAAATACTATTCAACACTAAAAATTTTCCAGAGGAAAAAAATAACCATTACCATGAGAAATTATAACTACTCTCACTTCAAGAACAGCATTATTATTATTGTCAAAACTATAACATACAATAATTCACACATCTCTACTGACCTCAGCCCTTAGCTGCCGCTGGAAATTTAGCAAACGTAATGCTCTAAGTTCAATCTGTGCTTTCATTTTCAAATCTTCTGCCATAGTTGCTGGAAGGCCACTCAATTCCTCGATTCTATAAGCAATACGAGCAGCCAATCTAGAAATAAATGTACAATATCATCAAAATTAAAAATAAGAGCCAATGTCTCCAGCTGCTCACCAGAAAAAAATTATACCACGGGCAGGGTTAGAACCCACAATCAAACAGTCACAAAACTTCAGACCGTTGCGTTAGCCACTCGAGTCATGTTGACGGCTTTGAAGGGACTTGAGCTAGAGTTTGTCACAGCCACGCTAGCTGGGGATTCGTCTCTAAAAACTTGCATTTGTGGTCACAGTGGTGCTTGTGCTAACCTTCCTATGGTGTATAAATATACCTAGTTGGATGAATCGTATTGTGGCTAGCTGGCCCAGTGGCTAACACAATGGTCTGGAGTTTTGAGACTCTGATCGCGGGTTCCAACCCCGCCTGTGGTATGGTTTGTTTGCAATCGTGTCATTATGATTTCGTGAGTCCTGCTCACCAGTACAAATGTAATTCACTAATTGCAAACATGTTTCAGTCATAAGTGTGGTACATATGTGTGCATCTGAAATACTGTTACAAAACCCAAACTGTAATATACTGTACAATCAAGGTTTCAGGTGAAACTTAAGCTAAAACCAGAAGTTATTTAAAGGAATATAAACTCAAATATGATAAAAAAAAAAATAACTGAAGATAAGCACAGAATGTAAAATTATATACAGAAAGTGCATTGTGGGTTATACAATTTACAGCATGTATTACCTTGCAGACAAGAGTACAACAATATTGATAAAACAAAAGCTAAAGTTGCACTTCATTTTATCATTAGCAGTTCTCCCATTGCTGAACTAAACAAAGGAAAATTCATTAAGGAGCTGAACTTTACACAATGATAATGCATTGTGTATACAATAAGACAAATAAAAGTGATTTATCATAGTAGCAGTACACAAATAACCCGCACACAGAAGAGAGGAGTTTATATGTGTATCGTTCCAGTCACGGTATTGTGCCTTTTTTTTGTTATTCATAGTAGTAGTAGCAGCAAAAATATAACAAGAAAAATATTATATTTAAAAATTCACTACTACTACTACTAATAATAATAATTATAATAAGCCACCCTATCATGGGAGCAGTATAGAGATGTTGCGGATATATGAAAGAAATAGTATGTTACTAAAAGCGGTAGAGCGCTTTTATGCAGACAGTGAGGCTCAGGTTAGGGTTTGAAAGAGAGGATTATTTTCCAGTAAAAGTGGGTATAAGACAGGAATGTGTGATATTCCCATGGTTGTTTAATATATTTATAGATGTGTTTGTGAAAGAAGTGAATGCTAGGGTGATGGAGAGAGATGTGGGATTAAAAGATAATACAAAGCGGGAGTTGTAATAGTTGCTGTTTTGCCAATGACACAGCTCTTCTACTAGATTCTCAAGAGAAGTTACAAGGCTGGAAGATGAATTTAGGAGGGGATGTAAAAAGGAAATTAAAAATCAACATGATTGATCACATCATTAACCCAGAGAACTGGTTTGCAACTGGGTCAAAGGGGTGATGGACACCAGAATCAAAACTAGGTAGACTATTATTCACCTCAGATACCCCTGGTATAACCTGAACTGTTATATTAAGCTTTGTTCATTCTCAATTAAATGGTTGTTACCTGAATGATGTGGTGCCAGCCAAGACCTAAACCTCATCAATCCAATGGCATCCAGAAACAAGACAGATCGCAGTAAAAACTAGTGCCTCCCATTTAACCCGTAAACGGTCCAAACGTATATATACATTCTTACCGCTAGTGCCCCAAACATAATTTTTTTTTTTTCAACAAGTTGGCCGTGTCCCACCAAGGCAGGGTGACCCAAAAAGAAAGAAAATCCCCAAAAAGAAAATACTTTCATCATCATTCAACACTTTCACCTCACTCACACATAATCACTGTTTTTGCAGAGGTGCTCAGAACACAACAGTTTAGAAGTATATACATATAAAAAATACACAACATATCCCTCCAAACTGCCAATATCCCAAACCCCTTCTTTAGAGTGCAGGCATTGTACTTCCCATTTCCAGGACTCAAGTCCGGTTATATAAAATAACCGGTTTACCTGAATCCTTTCACTAAATATTACCCTGCTCACACTCCAACAGCCTGTCAGGTCCCAAATACCATTTATCTCCATTCACTCCTATCTAACACACTCACGCACGCTTTCTGGAAGTCCAAACCCCTCACCCACAACAACACGTCCTTTACCCCCTCCCTCCAACCTTTTCAAGGACGACCCCTACCCTGCCTTCCTTCCCCTACAGATTTATACGCTCTCCATGTCATTCTACTTTGACCCATTCTCTCTAAATGACCAAACCACCTCAACAAACCCTCTTCAGCCCTCTGACTAATACTTTTATTAACTCCACACCTTCTTCTAATTTCCACACTCCGAATTATCTGCATAATATTTACACCACACATTGCCCTTAGACAGGACATCTCCACTGCCTCCAACTGAGGCGCCTCCTTGCTGCAGCATTTACAACCCAAGTTTCACACCCATATAAGTGTGTTGGTACTACTATACTTTCATACATTCCCTTCTTTGCCTCCATAGATAACATTTTTTGCCTCCACATATACCTCAATGCACCACTCACCTTTTTTCCTTCATCAATTCTATGATTAACCTCATCCTTCATAAATCCATCCACTGACACGTTAACTCCCAAATACAGTGGACCCCTGACATTCGAAGGCATCGACATTCGATAAATCCGACATTCGATGCATTTTAACGCAAAAATTTTACCTCGACATTCGATGGAAAATCAGACATTCGATATGATTCGTACGAGACGTGTCCACGTGTGGCCTGAACTGCCCCGTGTGTGCCAGTGTTTATAAGCCAGCCAGTGTGCGCGCATCTAAGGATACATTCGGTACATTCCACATTATCCATATTATCACTGTTTTTGGTGCTTGTTTCTGCAAAATAAGTAACCATGGGCCCCAAGAAAGCTTCTAGTGCCAACCCTTCGAGAAAAAAGGTGCTAATGACTATTGAAATGAAGAAAGAGATAATTGCAAAGTACAAAAGTGGAGTGCGTGTGTCGGAGTGCATGAGGATTTGGTAAACAAATTGCCTGCAACTAGTGGTGATGTGAGTGAAGTTAAGGCCAGCAAAGGTTGGTTTGAAAGATTTAAGAATCATAGTGGCATACACAGTGTGGTAAGGCATGGTGAGGCTGCCAGTTCAAGTCCTAATGGAAGGGGATTCCCCTTCTAAACACTAACACCATCCACACTCTCCCCTCCTCCCATCCCATCAATCATCACCAGATCTTCATTAACCCTTTCAGGGTCCAAGGCCCAAATCTGGAGTCACGCACCAGTGTCCAAGAATTTTCAAAAAAAAAATTTGTTATTTTTTCTTATGAAATCGTAGAGAATCTTTTTGTGAAGGTAATAAAACAAAAAGTACGAAATTTGGTGGAAAATTGACGAAATTATGCTCTCGCGAATTTTGATGTGTCAGCGATATTTACGAATCGGCGATTTTGCTGACTTTGACTCCCATTTTAGGCCAATTACATTATTCCAATCAACCAAATTCTTAGCTATTTCACTAGTATTACTTCTATTCTATCGATTGAGCACAAGAAATCGCCAAGTCAACTGTTTCAACTACAAAATAAAGTGATCGGAAATTGTTAATTTGGCCAATTTAACACAAAGTTCAAAATATTCCAATTTCAAAATAGGGTCCAGAATAAACAATGTAGGCATTCCTGGCACTAAACTAACATTTCCTCTGTTCATTAGTTATGTTTTGAGGCTTTACAAATAAAGTCCATTTTGATTTTTTATTCACATAATGAATTTTTTTTCACACCAAAAAATAGAAGATTTACTGTTATGCAATACTGTAATAATTGTATAAATATCATCACCATATTTGTGAATGTATATTAGACCCACCAGCTGATGTGTATTAGACGTGTGAGGTCGTTTGTTTACTCTTGAATATCGGCAAAAATTTAACATTTCCGCTACTTTGAGCTCAGTTTTCAAGCCATTTCCAGTGCTAAAACCAATCAAAATCATTTCTATTTCTGTAATATGTCTTCCATTCTATCAAATGAGACCAAGAAATCGCAAATACACCTATAAAAAACATACGAAAAAACACTGCAAAGTTGCTGTTTTAATCGAAAAATCATGATTTCAGTTTTTTTCTCTCATTATACACAGCGTGCTGCAGGATCTGTTTTATGTGGTGCACACATACCACATTGATGTATTCTCTCATATCTAGGCCCAAATGTACCACTCACAGTTTATCAGAGTGAGCTGAGCTCATGGCGTAGATCTACGGTTTGGACACTCACCATAAAGCCGTAGATCTACGGGACGGACCCTGAAAGGGTTAAAGGTAAGTGTCAATTATTCTATTGTTATTAATCTATTGTTATTGTAATTATTCTATTGCACTAAACTTAATATTTCATGTGGTAAAAATTTTTTTTTTCATACTTTTGAGTGTCTTGCACGGATTAATTTTATTTCCATTATTTCTTATGGGGAAAATTAATTCGACTTTCGATATTTTCGACATTCGATAGCTCTCAGGAACGGATTAGTATCGAATGTTGAGGGTCCACTGTATCTGAAAACATTCACTTCTTCCAAACTCCTCTTCTCTAATTTGATATCCAATTTTTTTCCTGCTTCCAAATTTTGCACGATTGGCCTGAGATGCCTGGTCATCATAGAATGGATCTTAACACTCGGTGTGCACAGTATTAAACAAATCTGGGACCACTTAGTACCTTGTGGGAGTGCCAGTTATATTGAGTGCCAGCTGGAGCAAACAGTGTGGCAAACACCAAGGATTCACTGATGTAATGTCATATTAATACTCCCCTTTTAAGATGAAAGTAATGTTAACCCCAAGTTTAGGGTCTGTCTATCTGTCTCTGTCTATTTCTGTCTGTCTATCTCTGTGTATCTCTGTCTATTTCTATCTCTGTCTATTTCTATCTCTGTCTCTGTCTCTCTGTCTGT